TCGGTACCAACAGAGCTTCCCACTGACGCTAGTGGCGTCGGCTTGGTGCCATACTTGCCCAACGCATACTTGCCCAAACAATCCCCACCTCGAAAACCAGTTGCGCTCACCGATCGAGTCCAGTTCTCACTCTTCATTTTCTCTCTCATTCAACCTGACTCCCAGGGTATAGTCACCCTCGCAGAGTCAGGGTTACAAACGAAGCCCGTGATGAGCAGAGCTTCGTATGCGTTGTTGCGCATTTCTGTATTAGACGTGTTACCCTCAGTGTCACCACAGAAAGCTGTGTTTTAAGGAGGCGCTAATGGTGTGAGGTTCGTGCAAACGTTTTAGAACTGACAGCAGACGCTTTGTAACATTTATCAGGAGTCAATAATCAGTAGGTTTCAAAGCTTTCAATGCTGCGGTGGACGTCGTGGTCGTGTGTTACATTTTGGTGACTGTGCCCACGGAGGCCAAATTCAGGCAATCACGCGGAACCATGCTTGTTAACACTTCAAGGCATTACTCTATCCGCCGTGGTGGTGTAGCGGTGCTTGGCTACTGACCCAATGGTCGGGGGTTCGATCGGAGGTGCGGCGGTCACATTTAAGTGACAGTGAAACGGTAGAGACCCGTGTACTGTGCGATGTCAGTGCTCGTTAAAGGACACCAGATGGTCAAACATTACGGAGCCCTTTAATACAGCCCCTTGAATAATCATATCGTGGTTTGGGGATTTCACACTTCAGTATAACATCGAGGCAATACTTCTAAAAAATCCTGTCTATATTTGTAATTTGTAATTAAATAAATGCATGAATTAACAGTAGCAAATTACTCCTTAACAGAGATACTATAACTTCCATTGCAACGCATTATTCCCCGTTATAAAAATACAGAAGATTCCACGCTATATCATTATCAGCTTCATGCGCACAACTCCGCGGGAAATTTTCTAGGCTGCATTTTTTGGGCTTTCATCTATTGTGACATATTGTGAGTGACCTCTGCTCAAGAAAAACTTCGATGTGCCCAGTCATATCGCTGAGTAGGTCAAAAGTTTCTTCACCTAAATCGTGACTCACCATCTTATTGCTCTCAAGTACTTGAAGCATAGCTCGGCATACTCATTTGAACATGGTGAGTGTGAGTGTGAGCATGAGTGAGTATGAGAAGGAGAGAATATGAACGTGAGTGAGTACTCATGAGTGTGACTAGGAGTTTGAACATGAGTGAGTACTGATGAGTGTGAGTATTTGTTAGTATGAACGTAAGTGACTATTCATCAGTGTGATTAGGAGTCAGTGAGAGCTCATAAATGTGAGTAGGAGTAAGTACGAACGTTGGTGAGTACTCATGAGTGTGAGTAGACTTGACTGCGAAGCTGAGTGAGTTGCTGTGAGTGTCAGTAGCAACGAGTAGGAACATGAGTGAGTTACTATGAGTGTGATAACTATTTGTAACCATCGAAACGGCGTCCTCAATACGTTGGAAATAACGGGCACTATGGCATGCAAGCTTCCTGTACGTAAAAGCCTTCAGTTAGTTTGGAAACTGGGGGAGCCATCCTACGTCAGAGGGGGGGGGGGGGGGGGGGGGCGAGGTGACCGCGCAAAACACGAGTTGAGGGTAGCCATTCATTTTATTATAATTTAAATTTTCTAGACTGAATAATTTTGAAATGCCTGTCCCTATAGCTACCGTTCTTGCTGCACTTACCTCTTGCGCTTCAGTCTACGTAAAGCGCTGATTATACATGCAAAACAACAAGGTCTTGAGAAGCCCTTTAACGGAAATTGCCGCGCGAGCCGGTTCAGAAAAAAGAAATGCACTGCGCAAGCGACAAAAAAAAAAAAAAACGCTGAAATGGCTCGCGAGATCAAGCAAACTGTGTGCGCGACGCACATTGTGCGCAGCGATTTTGCAGTTTCTATCTCTGCGTTGTCCCTCAAGTGAAGGTTGCCTTGAACGAAAACCTTAAGTGATCTCATGACCTCTCAAGCGCGAAGCTGTGTGCAAACTTCGCCTTCTCAGTGCCCCATTAAGAAAAGAAAAAGGAAAGCTTAGAGGACGATTGAGCTTTACCGTCAATAGTATAGTATGCGATAGCGTAATCGGACCCTGTTGGCATCGCCGTTTCAATCTCTACCCTCGCTTCACTTTTTGTCGGCTTATTATGCCTTCAACAGTGCAGACACAATGTGCAATAAGCGCCCAATCACCCTTGATAATTTATTCTATCATTAACAAAACGCGGGCTAGTACAAAAACACACATAACGCAACTCGTTAATTACCGTTTCATTCAGCTGCCCACGATAACCCTGCGTACGCACACTGCCAATGAAAGTTAACCGCATCCGCAGATCCATAAGGCCCCCTGCAATCGTCAGTGCCGGCACGGAGCCAACGAAGTCTCCGCGTGAGCGCGACCCACAGAGGAAGGAAAGCATCTCCGAAGATGCGCACAATTTCTCGAATGCAAAACTGCCGTACGCAACGCATTCCATCTGAAGGCGAGGCAGAGGGGAGGCGCCATCTCGACGGGCGCGCCGGGCCACAGAACACATACCAGTGGCCGGGCGGCCGGGCTGGCCGCGGCGCCGCGGCGCCGACGTGACGGCGAGGCCCCAGCGCCCGCCTGTCCCGCTAGTGCGGTCGGAAGGGGATAGGGGCACTAGAACGAATGAAGCGGCCGAGCCGGATGGCATGGCAACGTCTTGGGTTCTGGCGGGTAATCATAGCGGCGGCCGTGTAGTATACTGAAGCTGTCGAGAGCGTCTCTATTTCGCGCGCGTGCGTCGTAGCCTACGAAAATGCGTTTTTAGTGCTTGTAACACATTACTGAGATTCTAAACGATGTCTCAGCGTCTCCTACGCGTCATGGATTACAAATGAATGTGCAGGTGCGTCGTAATTGCGCTGAGTCATTGCCTGTTTGTGGAGCCTACCGACCCTAAAAGAAAGCGACAATTGTTAAGCTCGATTGTTTTTTGAGTAACCTGAGTACACGTAACGCAACCTCAATGTTAATATTCATCATCGGCCTCACAATGTCTACTGCGGGACAAGGACCTCTCTCATGATCCGCCACTCAACTCAGTCCTGTGCTTGCAGCTGCCAATATGTACCCGAGAACTTCCTAATCTCATCTGCCCACCTAACTTACTGTCTCCCCCTAACCCGTTTGCTTTCTCTGGAAATCCGGTCAGTTATGCTTAATGACCAGCTGTTATCCTGCCTTTGCACTACATCCCGGCTCATGTCCATTTCTTCTTCTTGATTTCAACTAGGATATCCTTAACCCCGGTTTGTTCCCTGATCCACTCTGCTCTCTTCTTGACTCTTAAGGTTTCAACTGCTATTTTCCTTTCCATCGCTCTCTGCATCGCCCTCAATTTAGGCTGAATCCTTTTTGTAAGCCTCCAGGTTTCTGCTCAGTAGGTAAGTACCGGCAAGATGCAGCTGTTATATTTTTTCGTCTTGAGGAGATAGAGACAATCTGCCAGCCATGAGCTGAGAATGCTTGCCGAATCTTCTCCACCCCACTCTTATTCTTCTAGTTACTTCAGTCTCGTGACTCGGCTCCGCAGGTACTACCTGTCCTAAGTAGACGTATATACCTTTTCCAACTTCAAGTGCACTGCCACCTATCTCGAAGCGCAGTTTTCTTTCGAGGTTGTTGTTCATTACTTTCGTTCTCTGCCAGTTATTTTGTGATTCCAAGAGAAGGAAAGCGGGAAAAGAGTAGACAAGGTTTGGTAGCCAGGTGAGACTAGGAAGTTTGCGGGTATGAAGTAGCAACAGCAAGCAAAGGACCGAGTTGACTGGCGGAACAGGGGAGAGCCCTTTGTCCTGCTGTGATGATGATGAGTATGCGAATGTAAAAGTACGTGGGTGAGTGCGCCTGAGTATGGGTAGGCGTAAGTATGAAGGTGAATTCTTATATTATAGTGTGGAGGTGAGTGAGGGCTTATGATGTTGAGCAGGTGTGAGTATGAAGGTGAGTGAGTAACTATGAGTCTTAATTGAGGTGCACAAAAAATTGAAGTACAAAAAGGAGACACCTGGACACGGCGCGCTGTCTCGAGGTGTCTTGCTTTTGTACTTCAATTGTTCGCGCACATCAGTTAATATGAATTACCAACTCGCCCAGCAGTCCATGTTTCTCTGAGAGTGTGAGTAGTCGTTAGTATGAACGTGAGCCATGAACAATGAGTGTGAGTAGGCGTGAGTATGAACGTGAGTGACTGTGAGTAGGCGTGAGCGTGAACGTGAGTGACTGCGAGTAGGCGTGAGTATGAACATGACTGAGTACTCATCAGTGTGAGTAGTCGTGAGTATGAACGTGAGTGAGGGCCTATGAGTGCTAGCTGGCGTGAGTGTGAACGCGAGTGAGTACTCACAAGTGTGAGTAGAAGTGAGTATGAAATGATTGAGTACTCATCAGTGTGAGTAGTCGTGAGTGTGAACGTGAGTGAGGGCCTAGAGTGTGAGTTGGCGTAAGTTTGAACGTGAGTGAGTACTCATGAGTATGAGTAAGAGGGAGTATGAACGTGAATGAGTACTTTCAGTGTGAGTAGAAGTGAGTTTCAACGTGAGTGAGTACTCATGAGTGTGAGTAGGAGTGAGTATGAACGTGAGTGAGTACTCTGAGTGTGACAAAGAGTGAGTTTGAACGTGAGTGAGAACTTTGAGTGTGAGAAGGAGTGAGTATGAACGTGAGTGAGTAGGAGTGAGTGTGAGTAGGCGTGAGTATGAACGTGAGTAGGTACTTTGAGTGTGAGAAGGAGTGAGTATGAACGTTAGTGAGTACTCATGAGTGCGAGTAGGCGTGAGTGTGAGCGTGAGTGAGGGCCTATGAGTGGTAGTAGACGTTGGTATGAACGTGAGTGAGGGTGAAGGCTGAAAACATTGTGGTGAGTGAGTACGAGTGAGTAGTCTCTCAAAGTGCCGAAGGCATGACGCAAAAAAGCGGATAATATGTGGCGCAATCATCCGTCTTGAGGAACACACAAGTTGAGAAAATACTTTTATTATTACTTTTCTGCTTTTAATGCAGTAGTCTGTCAACATGGAATGATCAATGGCCTAGCAGCGTTTTGGCCGATTAGGTCGTTCGGCGCCCGAAGGAGCTCACTCGTACGTCTCCCAATCCTTGCTGCGTTCTTCAAGCATCCAGCCGCACGCTTCGTGGAAACTTGGAATAAGGGCCCTGATTTGCTCGTAGTAAGACACTAACTTGATGAACTTAGACTTGTCTACAATGGGAAGCTGAAATAGTGTAACAACTCATTACTTAGTTGGACCATTTGCATGCCTTATCAGTAAAACTTTGACAAGGAGGCAACGCTCTGAGTCTGTCAGCAACGCAGGAACAAAATATGGAGAACGTCTTCAAAAGGATTGGGTGAATGGGGACAAACGTCACTTTACATTACCGGGTTTTCTTAGTTACACTAGCTTCAAGAGTCATTTTTAGGGATTTTAACTTCGTAAACCACGGCTTTAGCATTACTGGACAAGTTCAATGTTGCTTGGGTTGCGCTCTGTTTCACACCAATTTGAAGGGTCGCTCAGCATTTTTTAGAAGACAACTATGTTGTGGATGTCAATATAAAGCGATGAGCTATTGATTACCGAGAATAATTTTGAGAATTTGTACATAGAGTATGGTCTTACATGCAAGTGAGGGTGCCACTAATGAAAGTGTAATACACAGGTGCTTATAATGTGGCAAAAAAGTGCGCCATTGACCTCTTCTCATTACAAATACTTCACATGAATTGCTTCAGTACGCAGCAATTTTCTAGCACCCGTTGTAACATCATGCGTGGGTAACATTAGCTGAGATGCTCCCGACTCAAGCGTGCAGTTAACTTTTGGAGTACATATCTTGCCTCTGTGTGATTCAGAAATTTTCTCGCTCACACTATTCGAAAGAGGTGCGAGATTTGCTTTATCCGCCATTTATGACAATAATCTCAAGCCCAGTTATATCTCAGGACACTGTAAAGATTATTTTTTTTGTAAACTCGGTGTTTTTGGCCAACATGTTGTTATATGGATTTCTTTCATTATTCTTTGATTAGCAAACGCATTTACCTCAAGCGGTGTGCTTGATGGAGTTGGTTCATTTTATATGAAGAATAAAGTTGCGCTTAGAACAGGATCAAATGAAGACGCAGACGACGCTACAAGAAGTACTCAGCACGAATATTGCCTGAATTGCTAGTATTCGGGGAGTTCTATTGTTTTTATTATAATGCCTCTTGTACCTTCAGTGCACGTGGTTACGTTTTATTTATGCGTGATGTTATTTCCCTCTGTTAAGCTGCATCATTACAATTATATGACAATTTTGTCGGCAAGCAAAGTTACTATAGACTATTTTCAAATTTTACTCTTGTAGTATCTTTGTGTAAAGCACCCTTCACCCATGGGCCACGATAGAAATAATTGAATATTCATGTCCACAGCAACCAAATTTAATAATTGTTTAATAAATAACTCTTACCTACACTATACAAAAAATTGTGAGTTGCCCTAGCCAAACTTTTATCCTTCGAAAAAGAAACAAAGCAGAAGCTCCCGCAGCAAGCTGAGGCATAGAGTCCTCCTGTGCGAAACATGCTTGGTTCTTCAAAACCATTACCAAAACTTTCTCGTAACGACTGTATCGCTATCCAGAAAATACTTTTTTTCACGAAAGCAAAGAACTGATGCTGAGTACATATGACATAACAGCGCACGTATTGCAAGAAGTAATTTTCAGCCAGTCATCCCACGATATACGCCACGGTGGGCAATATATTCACCACGCCATGGCAGCTGCGTTAGGACATCTACTCACAGGCACGAAACATGCCATGCTGGAGACAAGCCGGATGTCAGCCACGGTGAGGCTGTCGCCGACAGCGAAAGCATTATCGCCGACCAGCTGCTCCAACGGGCGGAGTACAGTTTCTTCGAACGTCCGCAGTGCGTTTCCTGTCAGCTTTTTCCTCTTGACAATACTGCCTCGCTATGAAGTGAAGCCACAAATAAAGCAAATAAAAAAGCACAGAGCCACCAAAAAAAAAAAAAGCCGATAAGGACAGGTATTCCAGCATAGATATTTTGATACACTGTTATCGTTGCCGACATAGTGAAAGTTTCACTCTTTTTTTGTTAAAATAAGAAATACTTTCTTTTTGGCCAGTAAATGCGCAAGTAGGTTGTTTTGATCAGATTTTAGGGTAGCTCCGTCATTGAACGACCATCTAGTTTGATTCATTTCAGAAGAGAATTGTATTCAAGAAACTACTAACTAGAAGAGTTTGTTACTGCTCACAAAATGTATGCTACAGAGAAAATACTAAATATAAAAAAGGCAAAACAGGCACGTTTTTCCACGTTTGCATTTTCGAAAAGAACAGCATAGGTTCGCAGGCAACTTGGCTGTTGATGGCTGGTGCCGATCTTGAATGACAGGCTCTTTACGTTTATTAAAACTTTACGGGAGCTTCATTCTCTTTCCTTGCATATAGCATCTATTTCAAAACTATGGCACTCGTAGGATAATTTGGGCCTTATTACATTCAGGTCTGTATAAAGGGGCGTAGCCACAATTATGTTTCGGTAGCCGAGAGAGCCTTTATTCGCCATTTTTGTACATCCGTGACTAAGTAATCATGCGTGTATACATGCACATTAAAAACTGAAAAATTTCAAGGGCAACAGTTTGAAACGTCCCCCCACTTCCAGGAAAACACAAAAGTATTTTTTGCACCACACGTACGTTCCTTTTTAAAAGCTTCTAAAATCTTTGTGGTTCTGGCAGCAGGTGTAGAGTATTCCTAATGTCACGTGCGAATGTGCCGAGCATGAAGAAGAGCAGGACACAAATGACACACAGTACGAATGGCAGGCGCTGCATTCGACATCGGTCCTAGAAGATCAGGCGCGACTAATCCGAAGGCCTCGGAATAAGGGCGCCACCCAGCCAGACAGACGACAATTTCCACCCTTGTGTTACTTACAGCGCACTGAGGTAGGTAGGTAGGTAATCAACTTTATTGGTTCACCAAGGAATCGTTTGAGGGGGGGGGGGGGTGTGGCAGGGGAAGTGGAACCAGGATGACGACGGGCCCTCGAGCCGCTCTAGGTGGCCAGACACTGCCGTGCTTCGGCGACCTTTCTCGCCCAGCTCACTGTCCAGAGTTGTAACCCCGGTTGCGAGCTTCGCAGAGCAGCCTTCCATCGCTCCTGGTGTTTTGACCCTTGCCACGGGAGCTTGCGTTTGTTCGGAAAATTCAGAAATCTGCGATGGAAGTCTGCTCTGGTGCAGCGCACTGAGGTTCGAGCCTGTCTGGTTTCTGCACTAATAAAGTTTCAGATGCGACGCAGCTCTTTGGCTTCGCTGTGTAACGCTGTACCTCCATTCGAACGAACCATGCGCCACAGGTGTTGGTGTGGTGCCAAGTAGGTCACGCCGCTGCAGCGCGTTGACGCCAAGCTCTCCTCGCAGTGCGCGCTCGCCGTGGAACCGCAGCTGTCGCCTCGTCTGATCACCCACAACGCCTGCCATGACCGCCACTCACTACACCACCAGCTTTTTGGTTCACGCACAATTACCCTGACGCGCGACTAACGTGCCCGTTAAGACATGCGTGTACGTGTAACCCTCAAGATTTGCGCCAGCCATCACTTCAAACGAACCTTCCAGCACTCACCACCACACCGGCGTTAGCATCGTTCAACTCGTGATGACACCCATGCGCAACGCTGCTGCACCACAAGCCGTAAGGGTTTTCTTCAGGGAGATGGTCCAGGTTTTTTATTTCTACTACTACTACTACTACTACTACTACTATTACTACTACTACTACATTGACAAAGTAGAGAGCTGGACGAATTGGAACATGCATTCTTGAAAACGTTTCAGGGGGAACAAGACGGAGCTGTTTGTGCCCTCTTTGTGCCCCAGCTCATTCGCGCTGAAAAGTTTTCAAGAATACTATAAGTTCACGCAGAAGGCTTTTCGAATAGGAAACCCATCTTCCAAGCACGAGAAGTAGCATGCATTTGTAAATATCCCTAAAGTGGTAGTCCTAGCAAGAAATGTATTGTGTATTGGTGTGATTTTGCACTTTTCTGGATCCTTATTATATCACTATTCCTCGGATTTCATTTGTACGCATCGTTCGCACTGAAAACTTTTTTTTTACTTTGTTATTTCCCAATCTTGATTAGAAGCTAAGCAAAGAGAATGATTTTATGAGTTTATTGCATTGATATAGCAATTCAAGCAGCTAATGTTCAAATAATAAAAGAACTGAAATGAATGCGCAAATAATAAAAGAATGACAAGGTCGCCTAGAAGCAGGAATAACTCGCTGGCTGCAATTAAAGAATGGGACAGGTGGAACGTTTGCGGATGCTCCAGCCCCCGCATACCGTACGCTGGCACCACCACTGGTGCAGGCACCAAGTATGAGCAATATGTGACTAAGGCTATTTTAACATATAAAATGGCACATGAGGCTTCCTAAGGAGGTCACTATTCGTAGTAGCCCATAGTAAGATGTTAAATATAGTGCCCTTAAATAGTCGGTTGTCACGGGGAAGATGTTTGCTTCGTTTCGCGTGGCTTGCAGCAAGCTATTCATGGTATACTGAACTTTCTATTCCTTTCTTCTACTTCTATTGAAATAGAAGAATAAAGCATACTGAAATATATTACGTAATTGTAGGTTGAGTAAGTGGCATCGTGCTAAAGACACTGCAATTCTTCTTACTTCAAACTTATATTGTTTTACCTGAGCGGGACAGTAAAGTGTCTGCATTTTTTTTACTTCTTGTTGCCTTCAAGAAGTTTTGTCTACCTAAAAGTAAAACCTCACAGAACGCATCATGCTTCAAGCTTGTGCCTAAAGCAATCTCACCCTCATTTGGCCCACTGAACTTACTATGTGGAATGATGCAACAGGTTGCACAAAACTTGACACTGTGCACAAGATCTGGTCTACGAGAGCACACTTCTCCACTTCCTTCGGGTAGAGTGGTGACACAGGAGCATACTTGTTGAGCAGGTAGTAGCAGATGGCAGTACTGAAAACGACATGGCGGGATGGGACCACGCGGATTGTTACAAATGAAACACTTCATATGAGACATCACTTATTGCTCTGCTAAACTTAATTGCTTGCCGTTTATCTTCTAGAAAGCAAATATGAGATTATCACTCAGCAGACTAACAGGACTGGCCACATAGAAGATTATTTCGGTCACGCAGCTACTGCTGCTGCTCCTACACCTTAAATTAGGTACAGGTAGTATAATACTGCTTATCGAGAGGTTCCTTGATAGGTTTTTTCTCGCCTTTTTTTCTTTTCGATTCGGGCACGGCATTGTCACCATCGTTGAAAGATGACGCTACAAGCTTGGTTCCCATATTTCGCTCATGGGATTTTTACCTTATAGATTGTGGTATTTCTGGCCTCTCCAAGTTTTTATTACTTCAGACAGGAGTCGGTAGAATGACGTCTGCCTATTTATGACTATTTCACATTGAAGCTTGTGTATGGTCGCCCATTCGGTGTCGCACCGACCATCATGCACTATGCTGGCTTTCATCATTGAATGATCCCTCAGGCCGTCTCGCCCGTTGGGCTCTTCGCTTACAAGACTACGACATCCGCGTGCTCTACCGCAACGGACGCCAGCATGCTGACGCCGACACCCTCTTGCGCTCCCCTCTGCCTGAAGGTGATGCGCTCTGCTCAGTATCCTCGGCTGCTGTTTCTGCCATTGATGTTGACATCATCGCTACCGAACAGCGAAAAGATAATTGGATCGGCCCGCTCATCGACATGCTCTCTGATCCATCAGCAACGCCATCCACACGTGCCTTGCGTCGTCAAGCTCGCCATTTCGCCATTCGTGATGGCCTCCTACACCGACGCAATTACGACGCCGACGGCCGGCAGTGGTTACTCGTGATACCCCGCAGTCTGCGGTCAGAGATATGTGAATCGTTCCATTCTGATCCGCAATGCGCGCACTCTGGGGTATTCAAAACCTACCATCGCATTCGACAACGCTACTTCTGGCGCGGGATGTACCGCTATGTGCAGCAGTTCGTTCGCTCTTGCCTCACTTGCCAACGCCGTAAACCGTCAGCCCACATGTCGCACGCTGGTCTGCAACCGTTACCTTGCCCTGACCGTCCCTTTTGGGCGTGTAGGTATCGATTTGTATGGACCACTTCCTTTGACGTCGGCTGGTAACCGCTGGGCCATCGTTGCCGTTGACCATTTAACGTGATACGCCGAAACCGCCGCTCTCCCTGCGGCTACTGCGCGCGATGTTGCGTCCTTCCTGCTGCATCGATTTATACTGCGCCACGGACCACCCCAAGAGCTTCTTAGTGATCAAGGCCGTGTTTTCTTGTCGGAAGTCGTCGAAGCCATTCTGACGGAGTGCCATTCTGTCCACCGCAAAACTACTGCTTACCACCCACAGACGAATGGCCTCACCGAACGCTTTAACCGCACCCTCAGTGACATGCTTTCTATGTACGTCGCTGCCAACCACACTAATTGGGATAATATACCGCCCTTTGTCACCTACGCCTACAACACCGCCCCTCAGAGCACGACTGGTTTTTCACCTTTCTACTTGCTCTACGGAAGGCACCTGTCGCACACCATGGACACAATGCTCCCGTACACGCCGGATCCATCTGAGTGTACACCTATTTCCGAGACAGCCAGGCTTGCTGAAGAGTGTCGCGAGCTTGCCAAGACTTTTACGACGCAAGAGCAAGAGCGGCAGAAGAGTATTCATGATGGCTCCACCACTTCTGAGCCCACGTTCCTTCCTGGTGCGCTTGTATGGGTCTCGATCCCGACCTCTGCAGCTGGCCTCTCTTCCAAACTACGTCCCGAATACGAAGGCCCCTACCGTGTCATCGAGCGCACCTCACTCGTCAACTATCTGATCGAACCCGTTGAACAATCTTCGGACATGCGCCGCCGTGGGCGAGACATCGTCAACGTGGAGCGCCTGAAGGCTTATTATGACCCGCTCATAGTAACAAGCTGTTATGTCGCCAGGCGGCTCCCTCTTCGACCCCGCGGTAATTGTAGCGAAGCCTCCGAACCCTGAAATCGGTCGAACTCTTGAGTACCTTCTAGTGGGGCTACCCAACAAGGACGCCGCTCCCGCTGATTGTATATTCTCACTCGTCGCCGGCTAATAAACGCCTTAACACTTGGAGCGTTTCATGGGTCAACGTTTAACGAGTTACTTCACCTTTCGTACAAGATGAAACCATCGTCGTTGATTGCTGGGATCTTGAGTAAGGGGCTGATCTGAAAAAATAAAATAAACGGGAATTATTAGGGAGCGTATAGAGTACAAGCCTATACAGAAAGGAACAGCGTAGCGGTTTCTCCCGCGTTAAAGGAAGTGTGTTTGCGAAGTAGCTTAACCAAGTGTATGTGGGCAGTTAAATTTACGAATGCTATCATCTGAATTTCATTACTTGTCAAGGCCGACAGTTACGTTCCGTTTGGTTCTTTCCACTCGCCTCTCGCTTGTTGCGCGACATTTGCTGCTGCCGCCAAGAAAGCCGAAGACGAGAACTTTTCATCTGCTGGCACCCTGAGGAAATGACCGCGCCGACATCATCTGAATATAGAGACGTTTATTCGTTTCTCTTCTTTCTCCTCACTGTCCCTGCACCCCTGGTTTTATCCCCTGTCTCCCCATTCAACCACTTTTACAGTCCAATCAAAACTCACCACTCTTATAGTCCAATCAAAACGCACAGATGTGTCTCTCCTCGCCGCAACCTCGAATACCCACCACCTCTTGCCCACTAATCGGTTCTCCGCCGTCGCTCGGGTTTCTTTCACACCGGTTCCCGGAATGGTCGATGACGGGTGTTGCTAGGTCGTGGAAAAGCGCCTCCGAGTAAATTTCCGTGTCGCCGGGCTGACAGGCCATCAATACACTTGGCCCCTGCGCCAATGCCGTCGCCTCCGCTGATTCTGATTGCCCGGCGGACGCGTACGTGTACCTTCCACGTGTACCGGCCACCTGCAGCCTGGCTTGGTCTCCTGTAAGGCGCCATAATTGAGCCCTACAGCGGCACGGGAGTTGTCGCGTCCTTTGTGGCCAGCAGACAGTCATCGTCCCGCATTCCGGTGGCCCTGCTTCCTTGTTGGCGAGGGGTCGCCGGCCGCGGGGTGGGTAACATAAGGTATTCGGGGAACGCACGAAGTTCGAGCCCAACACCTCCCCTCCAATTGTGTTGCACTGAATCTATGACATGCGACACAAACACAACCACATATGCACACATGCTCACTGGCTCGACACGTGAGGCACCAACAGTCACTCGTACCTCGTTGACTCCGTCGCGCGCACGCGCTAACAAAGCAATCACCCCCCATAACTCGCCTTCCTATTTCTGCGTCATCGTTAGGAGTCACTAACGGTGACATTGCGTTGGTATTAGCGTTTAGACACCCCTTTTTGTATTCAATTTCTAGGTTTTACTTCTGTAATGCCAACGCCCAACGTGTCAGCCTAGCGCTCTGCGGAGTGGTTAGAGTCAGAAATTTGAGTGGGTTATGATCGGTAATCACCTTGATTTTAGCGCCAAACAGCCAAACATCCAACTTCCCCAGTGCCAAAATGATTGCATAAGCATCCTTTTCTATTGTGGCCCATGGGGTCTGAGCCGGGCTAAGCTTCTTGCTCAGAAAAGCGACAGGGCGCTCCTTGCCCACCAGATCCTGCTGTGCCAGGCACGCACCAACGGCGTAATCGGATGCATCTGTGACGAGGATAAATTCTTTCCCCAGGTCTGGTGTATGTAACGCCGACGCCTGCACTAGACAGTTTTTCACCTAGTCAAAAGCTTCCTGCGCCTCTGTATTTCAAGGTAATTTCTGCGGAATACGTCGCCAGTTAGGTTAGTCAGAGGCATAACGACTTTGGAGTACTCAGGCACGTAGTCCCTATAATAGTTGGCTAGCCCTAAGAAACTACGAAGCTGTCCCTTTGTTTCGGGAGCCGGGATCTCTTTTATCGCCCTGACCTTCTCTGGATCGGCCCCGAGTATCACTCCTACTGCAGTTACTGGGGCGTGATATGCGCGAAGCTTGTTAGCGTGAATGGTTCTGCGTGAACTGCCCTCGAGCTCATCTAAATAACTGTACGGTCGCAGTTTTTCGACCACTGTGATCGGTCCCTTCCACTTCACCACTAGCTTCCCCTCTCCTTCCTTCTCGAGCCGTAGTACTTGGTCCCCTGTGACAAACTGTTTGTCTGTGGCCCTTAAGTTACAGCGTCCTAGGTACTCCTTCTGAGTGAGTTCACTTTGTCGGGCGGCTCCTTCGTTAGCTTCTTCCAAACTACTTCGCAGCTTCGCAAGATATTCTGCTGCTGGCATACCCAATGGTTCCGGCACTTCCCAGTCTCCTGACCAAGTCCTTTTGAGAATGGATAGGGCCCCGTTCGGCACCCGCCAGTACATGAGCTCGAACGGTGACCGCCCTGTAGTCGCATGTTGGTCCTCACGATATGTTCATAACAAAAACGGAATCATTCTATCCCACTCGCGTCCATGTTCGCTGACTATGTGAGAAAGCATTCTTTTGAACGTGCCGTTCCAGCGCTCGACTAAGCCGTTGCTTTGCGGGTGATCGGGCGTGGAAAATCTCGGAGTTGCCCCAAGTCTTTGCAACATCTCCTGTGTAAACCTCGACGTAAAGTTGGTGCCCTGATCTGAGCAAATTGTCTCTGGCACCCCGTGTTGAGAAAATATCTGCAGTAACGCGTCACATGTAGCCTTTGCCGTTAGGGAACGGAGGCATACCACCTCTGGCCATCTGGTATGTAAGTCTACGACACAAAGAGCATAGCGGTGACATCTAGCCGAAGGGGGTATCATAGGACCGATGCAGTCCATGTTTACTGTCTGAAACGGCGCGCTGGGCCTGGCCAGGGGCTTTATCGGAACCCTATCTATCTGCCTCGTCGGCGATTTCACCTGGCATTCATGGCATGACCTTATTGACCTACACTACTCCTTTACATCTCGCGACATCTGCGGCCAGTAAAATGAGCTTTTCACTCGTTGTAGTGTTTTCCGCTCTCCTAAATGACCTGCCCATGGTGAATCGTGAGCCATTTTCAGCACTTCTTTGTGCCTGTGTGATGATAGCACTAACTGTTTGCAGATGCGACCCGCGAGGTGTTCCTGATGATACAATAGCTCTTCTTGAACGAGCATGCCATGCGTTCCGGCCTTTGCCTGCGCCCATGCATCTCGTAAAGCCGGGTCTGCTTCCTGAGCCTCACGAAACTCCTGTCGTTTGCTTTTGACCGGCTCGGGACCTTCGCTGTTGCTCTCCGCGGTTATGACGCCTGCCATCGCCCGTTGCTCCTCGCATGCTTCATCTGACAGCTCTACTATAGCTTCGGTCTCCTCGACTGCTGAACACTCGTCTGACGCTATGTCACGTTTAACCCTTTCCTCGAGAAGCTGTGCGTAATCGTTGGGCGTGATCAGCGCGTCCGTGCCGTCTAGCAGCTTATCTGTGATTGCACAAAGCACGGCCGACTGCACCACCTCGGACATCACGTAAGGACTTCCTTCAGTAGCTATGAGCGGCATGTAAGCCAACTCAGCGGTTACCTGTTGCCCGAACGCTCCCGTCAACTTTATCTGCGAACCCGTACCATCGTACTGAGGTACCACTGCCTTTCTGATGACGCTCACCTCCGCTCCTGAGTCTACCATGGCGTTTAATGATCGACCTGAGCTCTTAAGCGTTACAGTTCCCAGTGAGGGTTGTTTCTGCTCTTTACGCTGCCACAACCTGTCTGTCATTGCTATCTCTGACCCGAATGCAGAAGCCGTCACCCTCGCGACCACTGAACCGTTTTGTTGTCCTGCTGGCCTAGTGCCTTGCCTTGCACCTGAGCCCTTACTGGGGCAATTCCTGGCAATGTGGTCGGCACCCTTACACTCAAAACATCGCCTTTTCCCTTTTCCGTCCGTGGGTGTATCTACTGCTGTTTTCGCTTTCTTTTGCCACTCCTCTACATTTGCCTTCTTTTGTGCTGCCTTGCACTTTTCGCTCTCCTCGAATCTCTCCGCAAGCCTAGCCACGCCACTGGGCAGCAAAAAGGACTCGTGTTGATTACAAATGACATGCGCTCTCGCTTCCGGGCTCAAACATTCTTTCAAGCGATCCGCGACGACTAGCTGCTTGAGTTCCTCGAACGTGCCTACCTTTGAACTCTGGACATAATAGTCGAAATAATTCTCAAGGCGTACGGCAAACTGATCCCAGGACTCCCTTTCTTTCTTTTCTGATCCCGCAAACAGCCTCTTGTACTCCGCTGCCGAAAGCCTGAGACCCTCCAAAATGCTTGACTTAAGCTTAACATAAGCTTTGCGCTCCTCTGCTGTAAGCCTGCACAGCAGCCCGCGTGCCCTTTCACTCAACTGTGGCAAAACTAGCCCGGCCCACCATTCGCTCGGAACTTCATACGACACGAGCGTTGCCTCAACATCCTCGAACCACATTGGCGCCAGCGCCTCTTGGTTCGGCATTTGTGCCAGTACACCTTTTAACAAGCTTGCAAATTTCAGTCGCCTGTCTTCCTCTGACCTTCCGCCAAGCGCTACGCTGTCATCGCTCTCGTTGGACTCTGCCCCATTACGGGCTCGTAGCCGCTGGCTTTCTAGCATCAAGCGCTGCTTCTCCATTTCCACCTCAGCAATTTTAATTGAAGCTGGAGCAGCGCTAGCTGCTGTTCCGACGCCGTATCTGACGTGCCATTACCATGACCCCCCGTGCCGCTGTCGTCGACTCCCAACGCCTGCAAGTTTCCTGCCCCGTCCCCGTTCATTTCCGAGTTGTCCCTTTCTCTGTCTCGCAAGTTGTAATGCTTTGTCATCGCCTGCACCCAACAGAAAATCAAGAGGTACCGCCTGAAGTAGCCTTGCGGTGCGCTCTTCCTCCTCGGAATCCGGTGGACTAGCCTTGCTTCGTTGATCCCGCAGCGTGGTAGTCAGTTGAAGGTGGTTGTCGTCAGTCTCGGCCGATGTCGCTTCCCGCTGTCCTCCTCAGTTCAGCCATGCAGATCCTGCTCGACTGCGCCAGTTACGTTCCGTTCGCTTCTTTCCGCTCGCCTTTCGCTTGTTGCGCGACATTTGCTGCTGCCGCCAAGGAAGCCGAAGACGAGAACTTTTCATCTGCTGGCACCTTGAGGAAATAACCGCTCCGACATCATCTGAATATAGAGACTGTAACGGGGTTTATTTGCAGCGCAGAACGCTGAAAGCGAA